TACACACACATACATAAATAAATAAAATTTTAAAAAAATAAAATAAAATAAATGATGTAAAAAAAAAATACAATGGGCTATTACCACAAAAATTTTGCCACTTATCCTAAGGTATATAGACAAGAGAATAAACCAGACACAGCTACCTTGAAATGTTTAAACAAAGCCAAGTGAAGTGGCACTCTCTCAGAGCAAAAGAGTCTCAAACTTGAAAACAGGCTGGGCACTTCAGCAAGACACTGTCACAAAATTAAAATAAAAGAAAAAGGGCTAGGACAGTGCTCAGAAGCAGTGCATGGGAAGGCCCTGGGTTGAAATTCCCACGTCGCACTAAGAGTAACAGCAGTAACAATGCGTGCCTCCGCAGCACCCTACAGAAGACCGAACTACCACACCTCACACAGAGGAGAAATCGCATTCCTGCACCCGGACGTCGTCCGGGGATTGTGCAGAACTGTATAATGTGAGTAACAACCCTACGAGGCTCTTTTTGACTTTCAGTTCAATGTACAATGTGCAGTGCTCAGACTTCTCTCCTGAAAACTAGAAAATGATAGAATAATACCATAAAGCATTTTTTGAAAAGGAGAGAGGCTGAGACTGTGTCATGCTATTTATATTTAGTTCAAGCTGGCTTTAAACATACAAAAATAAGCAAAGGAAAAAAAAAAAAAAAAGAGAGAGATTAATTATTAATTCCAGGAAAGAAACCAAACAAGTGACAGAAGAAACAGAACAGAATCACAGTGTAAATCTGTTTCAGCTATAACAACATATACATTCCCATACGAACATGGCATTCAATACTGGCTGAAGTATAAACTTTGATGGAAGGTTATCTTCCCACGAAGATGGAAAGGAGAAAGCAGGCAGCATAAAGACTAAACTCCAGGGCCATGGAGATGGCTCAGTAGAATCAGCACTTCCCTGGCAAGCACAAGGGACTGGGTTCAATCCCCAGTTCCACAAAAAAAAAAAAAGCTAACTCCCATTTTTCACTGGATAAACTTGATAAGTAACACCTGAAACAGAAAAATTACCGTGCTGAGTTGGCACTGTACAGAAATTAATAGCATATTGGTCTACAAACATTAAACTTAATTGTTCCATTTGTATAGAAGTAATACACTGTATTAAATATAAAGAATTATCTGTGTGGATTTGATTATAAAAGCTAACAATTAAGTCCTCTCTAAATAATGAAAAAGAAAAAATGTAAATATATCCTCCTGCAACACTAATAGCACTAAAATAACAGAAGCAATGATTTTAAAAGCTAACCAGGAGGCTGAGGTAAGAGAATCCTGAGTTCAAAGTCAGCCTGGGCTATATACAGGGAGACACCCATCTCAAAACAACGGAAGTGCTAAAGAGAGATGCCTTTGGGAAGTGGGAGTAGGAGATGAGAAGGACGCAACAGGAACTCCTAAAATAAAAAACTTTGCAGCATCATCTGATTTTTTTTTTTTAAATTTATTTGGTATAGGGTCTCACTATACAGCTTGGACTTGTAGTGATCCTCCTTTTTTGAGCTTCCCCAGCACTGGGATTACAGGCATGCACAACCATGCAAGATCTCAATGCACCCAGGGGTGGAGCCAACATGGCATGTGGTGCTAGGGATTGAACCCTGATCCCAAAGCTTTCCTAAGCAGGAGCGCAGTCCACCCTACTACATTGCAGGCACTTAAAATCATTTGATTCTTAAAGCCCATGCAATTTTTACCTAAAATAAATTAAAATTTAACAAAATTAAAACCTTAGCTAATTGTTTTGTTTCTTGTTTGAATCCACTGACATTTGCCATTAACACTACAGTGTGCTTAGTCACCTAGGAAAGAGTAAGACTGGGGACAAGGTCAGGCCAGGAACAGGTCTCAGATTGAAAGAAGTCAGCACTACAGTTAGCCACCTGGCCCACCAGACCTTTGCAAGTGAGACAATCAGATGAAGGGAGAGGCGAGCAAGGACAAGGAAGGAAAGAAGGTTTGTAGTGATGTGATTACAACACTGAGGGAGGCTGAGGCACAAAGATTCCAAATTCAAGTCCAACCTGGGCTACCTACACATACTCAGATAAAAAACAAAGGGCCAGGGATGTAGCTCAGCAGCAGTTGTGCTTGAGTTCAATTCCCTGTAACACTACCCAACAGAATCATAAGAAACTTAAAAAGTAATATAACAACCAAACTCTCAAATGACTATAATTTTCTAGCATGCATAAATGAGAAACATGCATAATACGATCCTATGATCAAAATACATGGTGAATGTCTGGATGTTTTAAATGTACTATGCTAAAAGATACACTGTCTTTAACCCTCCCAAAATACTCCATCTTGCTTCAAGCACAACTCACCAGCCATTCTTGCCACTTTGTGAAGCAGTTCTGGAGTTCTCTTTCACGAACGTTGTCACAAAATGTGATAAAAAAAACTATGCAAAGTAAACATTTTGCACCATTCAGGACACTACAGCAATCATGGCAGCACAATTAAGGACATGCATGGAAGAGAACTTTCCAAACTGCTTCAGAAAGTGGCAGGAACAATAGGCTAAGTGTTCAAACAGAGAAAGAGTATTTTGGGAGAATTAATAAAAATGTCTTTCATTGGAATAATTTCTTAAATTTAAATATTCAGTTGATTTTTTTAATCTACCTCATATCATTAACTGAACAATTTTAAAAACATATGATCACCAGGCATGGTGCCACATTCATGTAATCTCTGACTTTAAAGTCAGCCTAAACTACACAGTGAGACTGTCTTAAAAAAAAAAAAAAAAAAAAAAAAAAAGGAAGCAGCTGGGGGGAAGGAGGCAGGCAGACCATAGATGAGTGTGTAGCTCAGTTGTACAGCTGTTTACCCAGCATGCACAAGGCCCTAAATTCAATCCTCAGCATCACCCCCTACAAAAGAGTGAAAAGATATGCTATAAAGAAAAACAAAAATATAGCATCTTGATTTATAGATGATTTGTTTTTTTTTTTAGACAGGGCCTTGCTTATGTAGCCCACGCTGGCCTAAGACTTGCAATGATACTCCTGGCTCAACCTCCTGAGCGCTTGGATTCACAGATGTGCACCACCACATCCAGAAACTAGCTAAAGATTTTTTAAAAACAGAATAAAATAAATAAAAGGAAGGAAAATTTGAAGGTGTTTTAAAATGCAAGCTAATGATTAGGTCAACCAAGTGCAATACTTTTCAGTATCTCTGAATTTTAATGCTGTTTTGTCAATAAAATATATTTCACAAGTTCAATAATAACAATAACCCCTAAGAAGACCTAAATTAAAGTTTGCCAAGCAGTTTCTCACAAGACAAAATTTGTTTTAGTTCTGGTTTGTTAGAATTAAATGTACCAAGGGGCAAATTAAGACACAGAAACATACTTTAAAGATTATGGTTTGAAAGTGCCTGATACCTCAGACAGGGAGAGGTATCATTAGGCAATAGCAAAACAAATACTGAGATACCTATTTCATTCACATTCTCTTACATTTCAGATGGATGATTTTACCATGGCCACCAAGAGCTATTAGGATAAACTTTGAATGGAGAAACACACAGACTCCCTAGATTTCCATCAGAGGACTGGAAGGTAACCAGAATGGCTCCCATTTTCAGGGTTAAAAGCAATCAACAGAGTCCAGTAATTCAGAGAGAAAACACTAGTGTGCCAGTGTGCTGCGTGTGTGTGGTATCCATGGGAATGCTGGCATGTGCAGTGCAAGTGTGTCTAAAGAGTCGATTAAGTACTGGGAAAGAGCTTGCAGCAAAATTCCAAGCAGTGCTCAATCCAGCAGCACATACACTAAAACTGAAACGATACAGAGAAAATTAGCACAGCCCCTGCCAAAGGATGACAAGCAAATTCATGCAGCATTCCATATTTTCAAGACCCATCATGTGTAACATGTAGTGTTAGTTTGTAACACACATTTACTAAGATCAGGAGTCTTCAGAGTCACCTCTGCAGTATACTTCATGAGTTTTTTTGTTTTTCTTTGCGGGACCAGGGATTGAATTTAGGCCGCTGCATTTGCCAGGCAAGCACTTATTCCACTGAGCCTTCTCTCTGGTCCCTTGCAGTTTACTTTGAAAAAACCCAAAATTTTCTAAACATATGTTTGGCTCTTGCCAAAAAGAATACATATATTAGAATTTTAAATTAGTTTTTAATTGTTTCATAATAGATCTAGTTTAGCGGGGGATTTTGTTTTTAACTTACATAAACATGTAGTAGAAGACAACACAAGTATTGCTGTGCTGTTCCATTAACTGACCCAGAGCTAAACCCCACAGAGCATTCATTTGTAGTCAGGTTTGCTGTGTACCTTACAGTATTTACCTTAAGATCGCCTCTCTTGGTAATCAGAAATTCAAGCATTGAGTCAGAAATGAGAGAATAACTGTGAGCCAACCCTCACTGCTGCAGTTAAGTCTCACTGCTGTCCCTCCCGCATTATCACAATTTTTAGAGTAGTGTAGTACCTTGAAAGGAAAAGTACATTTTGGGTGTGAAGACATTTGTCTTCTTCAACATCGTCTTAAAAAGTCCATGGTACTTCCCAGTGTTCAGACTCAGAAATGATCAGCATTTACATTTTTGGGTAATCAGTACTATCATAAAGTGAATTTTTCTTTCTTGAAAATATGGACATTGTCATTTTTTCTGATTAAAAATTTTATTTAACTGCACTGCTTTCACACTAAACTCAGCATCACCTGAATAGTTTAGAGGTTTGCTTTTTGGGCCTCAAGTATGAGTGGAACATTTCCAAAGTCTTTGAACATACCATGGTGTAGTAAATGATAAACGCTGTGGTCATAAAGATTAAGTGAAAGTATGGAAACAAAAATTCAAACTAAAATAATCCATTTACAGGAAAGTGCTACCAGCAAAGCTGGCTAAACTACAATCAAAGTCTGTATTTCCAGTTTTAATAGTAAACACAGTTGTTAAGAGTGGTTAACACACAAGACCATACATGTATGCAACTTCAAGAAAGAAACCTGTTTTTCCAGTGCTGCCCTTGTTACACAGCTCCATTCTAAGGGACCTTGAGAGGAGGAACAAAAGCAAGTACACCACAAGAAAGCACCAGCTTGCCTTAAATATAGTGAATGCTGAGTCTTCAACGTAAATTCCCTAAAATAATGAGCTGTTCAATTTGTAAGACTTTACAGACTGCCTCCTCCTCCTCCTGTTTGTCAGTGTCCATCCACTCAGGCTGAGGCAGGTTCTGTTTCCTAAATCACTGAATTGCTCAGAATGGGTTTGAGTTTGCGGTTCTCCTGGCTGGTGTTTCTGTCTTCGTCTCCTAGAGGGCTTGGATTACAAGCATGCCTGGCATGCCTCCTGTTTCATAAGAAAAAAACAAATGGTTTGAGCCCAATGGATCTCTGACATGAAGAAAAGCACCAGTTAGCTGAAATTTTGTTGTTGTAATGGTTTTTTGGTTCTGGGTGTAAAGCCCCACAGGTCACTGCTGTGTTTTTCAGGGTAGTATCTTTCCCCCAGTGGGGGAGATCAAAGCCAGTGCTTCACACACACTAAGCAAACGCTCACTTGCTGAGCAGCACCTCCAATCCACGGCACCCTGAAGAGGCAGCCCCTCTTATTCCAGCTCTAAACTTCTCACTTGCTGGCTATCTGGCTACTGGTACAAGACTCAGACTCGGAGCTGAGTAGCCAGTGTCTCCCTCTCTGCCATCACTAACCTTCGTCACAACCTGCGGTCACCTCTAGCTCCCCATGTGCTGTCTTTTTATCTGTTGCACAAGGTCAGCAGGATGAGGATACCAAGCAATGCCAGTAAAACCCCACCAGAGTGCCCTACCCATAGGAAATGCCCAATGAATACGGGCATTTAGAACACTGATATCAAGGGCTCTATCAGGGGTTTATTGCAAGAGCCTGGTTAAAACAATCAACCCAGGCTAAATAACACACCAGTGAGGTCAGTGAATCATTTAACTCAGCATCCTTGTCTTCATTCTTGTCACTGTGGTGGCAGCATGATTTCTATGGCAGTGTCTAGGGGAGGGTCCTGCAGATACAGCACCTACTACAAAAGGCAGAGCCCACCTCAGCAGCAAGGCCATAGGCCCTCTCCTCTTCCTCACCCCTCACTGCTCCTCGTGCAGCGTGCAGCGTGCAGCGTGCAGCGTGCAGCGTGCAGCGTGCAGCGTGCACTGGAGCCACACCGCAGGAGAGCTGAGTCAGGACACTGGGTGCTAAGCATTCCCACCAGTGACTCTGCTGCAGCAGTGATCCATCTTTAAAGATTCTTCTTGTTCCAAATGTGTGACCTTCAAATCTTAAAATGCAAAGGGGCTCAGAAGTGCATTAGAATCAAAAGAGAACTGTTAGCAAATTTCTAATACATATTACATATTTACTACAGCAAAACTAATGAAGTGACTGAAATAAGAGCAATTTAGCTAACATACAGGGTGAAATGATACAGATTTGCCATTTTCTTAATTCAATATAGGTAAGAAACATGTCTATCAAGGAAAGGGTTTCTTTCTTTTTTTTTTTAATTTTTATTTATTTATTTTTACATTTTATTTATTGTGTGTGTGGCCAGTTCAGCCCACCTGTGGGTGGGGCTGGCTGGCATGTGGTGCTGGGGGATCGAACCGTGGTCCCTGTGCTTTGCCAAGCTTGTTCCAAGTAGGTGCTTTAGACCACTGAGCCATCTCTCCAGCCCAAGGAAAGGGTTTCTATAGTCACTATATTCAAATCGTTTTCCTCATTTCTCTTTTCTCTAGACTGCAAAAATAGTCCTGGCATTTGAAAAATAAAATAAAATAAAATAAAAATAGTCCTGGCAACAGCTGACGGATTAAAAAAATGCCATTTTCAATATTATAAAAAAAAAAGAAAGAAAAAAATTCAATGCTTACATGTCTACTGCCTAAGTACAGCTGATAACATCCTTCTCAGTGCTACCTTCTTGCCCTCCACATGATTCTGCTACATTTCACACACAGAGCTATTTTCTTATAAACTATCTTTCACTGCCACTTCAAGCCACTTCACAGTATAGAGCATATTGTATAATAAAATCTTTAATAAGTTATTCACTCATTAAAGAAACTTACTTGGGAGGCCGGCCAGATAGCAGATTAAAGTGCCTGCTTAGGCAGGCACAGGGACCAGGGTTCGATCCCCAATGTGCCAACTCCACCCCTGAGGGGGGCCCTGAGACAGTGACTGAGACTGGGCATAGTGGCACGTGCCTGTAAGCCCACTGCCTGGGAGGCTGAAAACAGAAGGATCACTAAGAGTCCAATCTGTGCAGTGAGACCCTGCAGACCCTGTACTAAACACATTTTAAAAAAGTAACTTACTAGACCTACTGTGTGCCAGATGCTTTATTCATTCAAAAAACATGCAAGTGCTTGGAGTATATCAGTGAGTGACATAAAAAAGATTCCTGGCTTCAGGAACCTTACAGTTTGCAGGGTAAAACAACAGCAGATTCCATAACCCTCTATATAGCACATCCAGGATGGTAAGCAGAAAGGGAAAGGACATCATCAGGCAGGATTGAGAGTGAACAAAAAAGGGTGCTGGCAACAGCACTAAAATAGCTGGTCAGAGAAAGGCTAGGCTCCTAGGTAAGGAAGTTAGCAAAACCATGAAGTAAATCTCCAAGAAAGAGTACCGCAGGATGAGGAAACCATTTGGGCAAGACTGTTTAAGAAACAGAAACAAGCTCAGCACGCTGGCACACACCTGTGATCCCAGCATTCTAACAGTCTCAGGCAGAAGAACTACAAGCTTGAACCTATCATGGATAATTTAACAGGACTGTCTCGAAGTTAAAAATTAAGGGGAGAAAAAAAAAAAAAGTTAAGGTTGAAGCTGCAGTTCAAAGTGAAAGCCTTGAATTTAGCCTCCAAGACTGACTAACACACACACACACACACACACACACACACACACACAAATACGAACAAAAAATAAGCCAGGCAAGGGAGCAAATATCTATAGTTCCAACTATTCAGAAAGCTCAAGAGGAGGGTCACTGGAACGCAAGAGTCTGAGATCAACCTCAGCAACACTGATGGCCTCTCATCTCAAAAAACCAAGCAGGACACACCTATAATACCAGTACTTCACAGGAGGATCACTGCAAAGTCAAAGCTAGCCTGAGCTGCATATTAAGTTCAAGACCAGCCTGGACTACACAGATAGGACCCTGTCTTAAAACAATTTTTTAATTCATTAAAATTAAAAAGACAGATGGCGTAACTCAGTGGTATGCCAATTCTAGGCTCATTTCTCAGTACAGCCCTACTTCCCTCCCCTTCCACTCTGGCGAAAGGTTCTAGCAAGTATGTGTTCCTTTCTAATTGTTTAAACGTGAGATGAGTCTCCCAATCCTGTTAATATCTAAATTCAAACTAAACCATCTTAATAATACAAACCTTTGTTTCTGTCATTTTGTTTTTTGAGGCAAGGCCTTTTTTATGAATTAAGGACAGGGTCTACAGGGTCTCACTATGTAGATGGGACTCAAAGTGATTCTCAGACTCGTAGTAATTCTCGAGGCAGGGTCTCTTTGTAGTTCATGCTGGCCTTAAACTCCTAGGAATCCTCCTGCCTCAGTTTCCTAAGTGCTGGGATCGAAGGTGTGCACCACCACAACCAGCTCAAATATATTTTTGTAGACATTTGTCAAAAATTCATTATTCCTGTTTTATAATTAATAGTTACCCTCCATATGTTCCAAATGACATAGGCTTTTTAATTTCAGAGGTGCTAAATATTTAACCTAGCACCACACCTACCACACAGTATGTTCACAAACAGCTCTGAAATAAACCCAAGTGATACAGACAATATTTGAAGCTGGATGGATCTGGCTTTGACATTCACA